TGTCTGTGTTAGGATAATGATATTGTTAGTATAGCTATGTTTGAATAATGATACTGTTAATATAGCTGTCTGTGTTAGGATAATGATATTGTTAGTATAGCTATGTTTGAATAATGATACTGTTAATATAGCTGTCTGTGTTAGGATAATGATATTGTTAGTATAGCTATGTTTGAATAATGATACTGTTAAGATAGCTGTCTGTGTTAGGATAATGATATTGTTAGTATAGCTATGTTTGGATAATGTTATTGTTAATATAGCTATGTTTGGATAATGATACTGTTAGTGTAGCTGTGTCAGGATAATGATACTGTTAGTATAGCTGTGTTAGGATAATGATACTGTTAGTATAGCTGTGTTAAGATAATGATACTGTTAGTATAGCTGTGTTAGGATAATGATACTGTTAGTATAGCTGTGTTAGGATAATGATATTGTTAGTGTAACTGTGTTGTGATAATGATAATGTTAGTGTAGCTGTGTCAGGATAATGATACTGTTAGTATAGCTGTGTCACGATAATGATACCTTTAGTATAGCTGTGTCAAGATAATGATACTGTTGGTGTAACTGTGTTGGGATAATGATACTGTTAGTGTAGCTGTGTCAAGATAATGATACTGTTGGTGTAACTGTGTTGGGATAATGATACTGTTGGTGTAACTGTGTTAGGATAATGATATTGTTAGTATAGTTATGTTTGGATAATGATACTGTTAATGTAGCTGTCTGTGTTAGGATAATAATACTGTTAGTGTAACTGTGTTGGGATAATGATATTGTTAGTGTAACTGTGTTGAAATAATGATAGTGTTAGTGTAGCTACTAACAGTATCATTATCCTGACACACTATACTAACAGTATAATTATCCTGACACAACTATACTAACAGTATCATTATCCTGACACAGCTACTGTGTCAGGATAATGATACTGTTAGGTTAGCTGTGTCAGAATAATGGTATTGTTCGTATAGCTGTTTTAGGATAATGATACTGTTAGTATAGCTGTGTTAGGATAATGATACTGTTAGTATAGCTGTGTCAGGATAATGATACTGTTAGTATAGCTGTGTCAGGATAATGATACTGTTAGTATAGCTGTGTCAGAATAATGGTATTGTTCGTATAGCTGTTTTGGGATAATGATACTGTTAATATAGCTATGTTTGGATAATGATACTGTAAATATAGCTGTCTGTGTTAGGATAATGATACTGTTAATATAGCTGTCTGTGTTAGGATAATGATATTGTTAGTGTAACTGTGTTGGGATAATGATACTGTTATTGTAGCTGTGTCAGGATAATGATACTGTCAGTATAGCTGTTTTGGGATAATGATACTGTTAGTATAGCTGTGTTAGGATAATGATACTGTTAGTATAGCTGTGTTAGAATAATGATACTGTTAGTATAGCTGTGTCAGGATAATGATACTGTTAGTATAGCTGTGTCAGAATAATGGTATTGTTCGTATAGCTGTTTTGGGATAATGATATATCATTATCCTAACACAGCTATACTAACTATATCATTATCCTAACACAGCTATACTAACAGTATCATTATCCTAACACAGACAGCTATATTTACAATATCATTATCCTAACACAGCTATACTAACAGTATCATTATCCCAAAACAGCTATACGAACAATACCATTATTCTGACACAGCTATACTAACAGCTGTTAATATAGCTTTATTAAGATAATGATACTGTTAATATAGCTGTATTAAGATAATGATACTATTAGTATAGCTGTGTTAGGATAATGATATTGTTAGTGTAACTGTGTTGGGATAATGATACTGTTAGTGTAGCTGTGTAAGGTTAATGATACTGTTAGTATAGCTGTGTCAGGATAATGATACTGTTAGTATAGCCGTGTAAGGATAATGATATTGTTATTGTAACTGTGTTGTGATAATGATACTGTTAGTGTAGCTGTGTCAGGATAATGATACTGTTAGTATAGCTGTGTTAGGATAATGATACTGTTAGTATAGCTGTGTTAGGAAAATGATACTGTTAGTATAGCTGTGTTAGGATAATGATACTGTTAGTATAGCTGTGTTAGGATAATGATACTGTTAGTATAGCTGTGTTAGGATAATGATACTGTTAGTATAGCTGTGTTGTGATAATGATACTGTTAGTATAGCTGTGTCAGGATAATGATACTGTTAGTATAGCTGTGTCAAGATAATGATACTGTTGATATATCTATTGTCAGTATACTGTTAGTATAGCTGTGTCAAGATAATGATACTGTTGATATATCTATTGTCAGTATACTGTTACTATAACTGTCTGTGTTAGAATAATGATATTGTTAGTATACCTATGTTTGGATAATGATACTGTTAGTATAGCTGTGTCAGGATAATGATACTGTTAGTATAGCTGTGTCAGGATAATGATACTGTTAGTATAGCTGTGTCAGGATAATGATAAACAATCTTCATATGTTTTGTTTATTTAAGTTTAATAGTTCCTAAATATAAATAAAATAGGGAATATTTCAAGTATTTCTGGATATATACAAGGTCATGATGTATCTTGTTCACTTTAAAGATAGCCTGAAGTGTGAAGGAACAGTTAACAAAATAAAACATCTCGAAACTGTCATACTTTGTATGTAAATTGTCAGAATGAAGTCAATATCTAATCTATTAATCAAGCTAGCTATTTAAGGCATTGGAATAATGATATGTGAGTCATAAAGACATAGAGTGTGAGATTATTATAATATATATAATAACAAATACATTTTTTTACCAAATTTGTGTGAAACAGAAATGTACCATTGAAGGGCACAAGTATGTTGATTAATATGACTCAACGGTATGAGATTTTGTACTTTTCAATAACTCTTGTTTTTGATTAAGTCACATATATAACAATTTAAACTAACAGTATTGAAAGAACACTGTTTAAACAATTCTGAATATTTATGAAAGTATTTGAAGACAATTTTTTGGTCTCACTACTCGTTGAAAAATACATTTGAAAAATTGTTTCTCTTATCTTTTAGACCGTCAATGCCCTTAACTACCTAAAGGAGAAGCTAACAATTATTCACAGAGGTGAGTGACTCTTTTCTTTATTTTTTTCACATACTTGTGTGAAGTGTGTTTTCTCTTGAATTTCTAATAAGATAAATATATATCGTACAGTTAGTCTTTGACTTGTGAAACTTGAAAAAGTTGTACAAAGTCTCTATCTTTTTTTGCTTTTACTGTTTTATGAAATTTGTTTTTTGAGAAAATATTAGTACTTCAGGTTTAATTTTGACATTTGTTGTGTCTCATTACATTAGTTGTTGCTGATGTTGACAGTGTATATTGATGTATAAAGAAAAACTCTTTGTCTCTGTTTTTATAGTAGCTATCTTATAAAAATTTCAGTTGTAGTAACAGCACTAGTTGACTTAAATATAAGTTCATCATCATTACAGATTTTATACTTAACTTGTTTTTTACATGTTGAGGCTTAATAGTAAGTTATGCAGCTGTCGTTTTAATTCATTCTTAATAGATGGGCTTGTGGTAATTCTTTGTCTTCCAACTTAACAAAGAATGTATTTAAATAAACAGCTGATGTGTTAGTTTACAAGATAACAGACAGGCTATAGGAATGTTTCATCATCCTGTTCATCAAACCTTATAGTTTTAATCATCATAAGCTAGCTTCATCTGCTTTAACATAGTAGACAAGCTGTAATAATGTTTCATCATCCTGTTCATCAAACCTTATAATTTTAATCATCATAAGCTAGCCTCGTCTGCTTCAACATAGTAGATAAGTTGTAATAATGTTTTATCATCCTGTTCAGCAAACCTTATAGTTTTAATCGTCATAAATTTTGTCATGACAAATACAAGAATACCATAAAGGCTACTCACCAAGCATTGACTATATCCAAGTTTGTATATTTACTTTGGAATTAAAACAATAATAATAATACTTCCTCTTTTTATTGTACTATATATCTTTATTCCTCTTTTTTTGGCATTAGTCAGCCATAAATACTCCATTGAAAATTACCTGATTATTTTTCTCTACAACACACCAAAAAACAAAACACTCGTAATCCAATCTAATAATTAAAATATTACATTGCCATACAATTCACTTCAATATTTGTATATGTGTATATATATATATATGTGTGTGTGTGTGTGTCTCATATCATCATATATTAGGTCGTCAAAGTAAATTATTGTAGTTTTTTTAGATGAAAAAACCTGAACGACTTATATATCAAAACAAAGCATTTATTAAATGAAATAGTCTCTATTCTTATTGATGATGCTTTTCCATCTTAAAATCAAGTTGTTAATGCCCTGAATAAAGAAATCACTTGGCTTTAAAGCAAAAAACATGTCTATGTCCTCTTTTACGCCTTCCATATTTGCATACGTTTTCCCATTAAGAGGATGATGATGCAGTGAACGAAAAAGATGTTAATCTTATGGTGCCATATCTGGAGAATATGGTGGAAGGGGAGAACTTCCCAACTCAACTCCATAATCTTGTATTGTGTCAAACATGCCACATGTGGACGTGCATTGTCGTGAAGAAGAAGAACACCTTTCCGATTGATGACTGAAGGGAGTTTCTGATGAAGGGCTTGATTTAAACATTCCAGTTGTTGACTATAGATCTCTGCATTGACAGTTTGCTGTGGATTGAGGAGTTCAAAATTAATTACTTCTTTGATGTCCCACCATATGTAAAGCATTACTTTCTGTGGATGGAGTCCAGGTTGGAAGTGGTTTTTGTCTAGAACTGAGCCATTGTTTTTGGTGTTTAATATTTGCATAGAGAATCCATTTTTTATCACCAGTGACAATTCTGTCCAAAAATGGTTCATGCGCATTACGCGCCATAAGAGACGAGGCAACATTCACATGTTGGAAACGATCATCATCGGTTAGTTTATGAGGCACCCATACACCTCCTTTATGGAGTTTTCCCATGTTCCTTAGATGTTTACATATTGTTTCATGAGAGACATGCAATTTCAGGGCCATTTCACGAGTGTGTTGCCTTGGGTTAGACTCAACAAGCATCTTCAGAGCATCAATATCAATTCCAACATTTTGGCCCCTGCCATCACAGTTTTTAAGGCGAAAGTCACCTGAACGAAATTTGTTGAACCATCGTTGACACTTACAAATATTCAAAACATTTCCATGAACTTCTTTGATATTCTTTGTGGCTACAGAGGCGTTGTTTCCAATCTTGTATTCAAACAGCATTACATGCCGAATGTGTGTCTCCTTGTGTGCCATCACTATAAGGGAATAGAGTATAA